CGGCTCCCAATTTAGTCTATTTATTTCTCGTTATTATTAGTACTCTTTTATTTTATTTCCTTTAGTTATTATTTAGTAACTGTGGTAGGATAATAAATATCTTGCAGTGGCTGGGCAAGAGTAGACTTCTCATTTTTTCCTTTCTTTTTTTATGTTGTACGGACGATGAAAAAATCAAATTATTGTTGAATAGAAAATTTGTTCGTTTTATTCTTACGAGAGAGTATCTCATATTCTTTTCGATTGTACTACACTCTACATCACGATCTTAACAAGTATTTTTGAGTATCTCATATTCTTTTCGATTGTACTACACTCTACATCACGATCTTAACAAGTATTTTGGACGTTCACAAAAATATGAAAAAATAAGGAAAATTTCGCTTGTTTTGAAAAATGGTATAATTTCGAATTTAGAAGGATTTTGACGTTCACAAATATATGAAAAAAAAAATAATAAGGAAAAATGTACTTCTTTGGAAAATGGAATGATAAAAATAAATAGAAATTGAGGACAAAACGATGAATAATGTGAGCTAATGTTGTAAATCGGTTCATTAACCGATCGTGTTTCTTAATTGCCGCAGCCAATTTCACGAGGAATCGATTACAATTGAGTTACAAGTTCAATTTGATTCAAACAAAAATCGCTATACATTTTTATTTTTAAAAATGTATTTCATTTTATTTTAATTACGTATGAATGAAATTGAATCTCATTCACATTGGAAATAGAGAACACGAAAAATGCAGAAACGTATTTGAGAAAAAAACATTACTGTTACAGTTCATAACATCCTTTTAGCAGACAAAGATGAGCCAAAACTGCAAATCGCATGGAATTTTGCACACCTAGGATAAAACTGAGAACAAAGGTGAACAAAGTTCGTTCTATAACTTACAACTTTCATCAAATAACAACAATGTTACTAACATAATAATAATAAAAGATAAAAGCAAAATCGCATTCTACGCGACCATCAATTCGATTTCTCTTTGGTGTAGTGGCGGACAGCAAAAGCCAACCCAAGAATCAAGAGAGGCACAATGAACTGCAAAATCTTGATTAGAAAATCCGAAGACTTATCTTGATTGTACTGTGCTTGTTGTGGTGGGGGAACGTATGCTCGTTTCAAGGGGACAGTTGTCGGGTCTATCTCGCCAATGTAGTATTTGTGCAGCATTTCCCGAGCAGAATCACTGTGCCCAACGTCTTCAAAGTCATTGGTTGCATCTTTTCCTGTAAATAGAAAATCGATTCCAGGTTAAGGCCGTGGTTGGTAAGCGTATAAGCTTAACTTATAGCTAATTTGATTAACTTATCTTGTATTCAAATAAGTTTGATTTGGTAAGACGAGTTTTTTTTATAAAGCTCGAACTTATATCATAAACTTCCTCCTTGGGTAGTTTTTTTAAATAAGTCCATTGAAATTTTTATTCCAGTAAGAGCATCTACAACACATTGGGTCTAGTCTTGCATATGTGGCACGTAAATAAACCCAAGTCTTGAATGACATGGATAAAACTATGTAAAATTAACAAAATTCATTCCAATGCAAAGAGACTAGGTCTCTGCTTGGGTCTAAAATAGACTTAAGGGTAGACCGAGTCTCTTTTTTTGGCTGCCACATAAGCATGACCCAGTCTATTTTTATTTGCATTGGAGAATAAAATTTTTTAGACTGGGTCTATTTATTAGGTGTCATATAACTTTTTGAGATTAAACCTAAAGCATTGTGGATGCTCTTAGCTTTTCAATTAATCTTACCAAACACTTTTATCAGGCTTTTGAGGCATAATTCATAGCTATCAGCTATAAACTCGAAATTCACTTAAAACCTATAAGTTAGCTCGTCATATCAGCTAGTTTTACTGAACAATATCAAATTATAAGTACAAGACACACATAAAGTACAAGACTGTACAAGAAGAAAAAATATGTGCAAAGGAATACTTTTATTACCTGTGGCTGATAGAAGAACTTCATCACCTCCCGGGTGATCGTCCATGAATGGAGTCACATCATAAACCTGAAAAATACATGAAACGAATAAGAATAGTTTAGAAACACAAATTTCATCAGGTTATTAATTCTTTGTGGATATGATATTGATATCTCTAAGTAGCATAGCAGCACATTTAAGCCTAATTTCTAAATACTTAATTGCGGTAATATGATTTCGATCTGATATAAGGAAATCTTACCAAGAAAAAAAAAAGCACTAACAATAATTTGATGCTATACACTACAATATTTGGTCCTTCATCAGTCCATCTTCTCACACACACACTCACATTCAAGCCAAATAAGCACCAATCAAGAACATGACAGCCACTTGCAGATCACTAAACCTAGCATACAAAATCTTTCCTCAAAAAACGTATCTAATATCCAAATTATGCACGTGAAATCAAGAGTGTTCGTTTACAAATATATCCAAAAAAAATAAATTAATCTCAACTAAAAATCTAACTCAACCTTGTTGTCTTCGGTATTTATGTATATTAAATAATATCAATCAATCATTTTAACACGTCACATCAACTAATACCAATATATTTCTAAACAAGCAAGTGCTAAGCATCTGTCAGCAATAACAAGATCATCGAACAATTAAATTAACAGCCCATACACACACACACACACATTCGAGCAAATAAGCAACAAACATGAACATGATAGCCACATACAAATCACTAAGCGTTACTAATTGCTATTGGCGGAAAATTCACTTATACCAGTGTGGATAGTGTACCCATACCGTAGGGGTGTAAACGAGCCGAGCTCTGCTCGTTAACTCAATGAGCTTATAATCGAGCTCGAGCTCGACTCGTTAATATTGGTAAACAAGCCGAGCTCGAGCCTTAACGAGCCAAAATCAAACCAAACTACAAAAAAAGTACATAAAAATAATATTTCTTAACGGGCCTTATTGAGCTAACGAGCTTTAAATGAGCTCGAGCTCACGAGCGGCTCGTTTAATTTAACAAATGTAAGTGGTGTTACCGTTGGATCAATACACTCTCACCATAGGTATGTGTGTTTGTGTTTTAATGCACGTAATCCAACAATGATAAACCCCGTGTGGGCAAGTAGGATCGAATTTAGCGGTACACAATCTCCCCTCAAGCATATATAATATCCAAACTATGCAGGTGAAATTAAGCATCTGTCAAACATATCAACATTACAACACTCTTCTTCACCATAACACACCACCAATAACAAGATCATCAAACAATTAACAGCCCATATGCTTAAAAACAGAAATTTCACACACAAGCTTCAATAAGTTAAACCTCACAAAGCATCTTTAGCCACTCTCCATAACTGGAACGATTTAACACCGAATATCAGAGCTCAAAAGCTCGAGACAAAGATCAAATTACAAACAATGAA